AGTAACTCTCCAAGACGGCACCAGAGTGCACTTTGTGTGCTTCTTAAAATGGAGTCTATGCGGGGAAGAGAAGCAAGACGAATAGGGAATTGAAAATATACAGAGCCCACGCCAAGAGTTTTCTTGTGAGGAGATGACCCACGAGTGCGGTTTCCTCGGAAGGAGGCTGTGCAAGCCAGAAGACAGGGTGCAGTGTCTGATCTCAGTGGTGAGCTGGATGGAGAAGAATCCAGCCACCTTAGATGGAGTCTTCCAAGGGTGGAGGAAGGAAGTTGGGGCCAGGGGGGTCATGGAGCAGGGCATCATGAGGCCGTCCTGACCGCTGCTCCTGCTCCTAGAATCATGGATCCCAATGAAATACCTGCTGCGTCCTCCTGCCCTTCTGGCTCTATGGCTGGGAGTAAGATTGGAGCCCAGTGGGGGATTGACATGAGCCCCAGAAGAGCTACCCGTCGCTGTGACTGCCGCTACGACTGTGGTATCTTTGACCAAAACCAGGACCAGGAGCCCTTCCGTCTCTTTCAGGAGGCCCACGAGTGCCACAAGTGTACCCTCTTCTCGTGAGTATGGGGGGTCTCACAAGGGGAAGGAACAGGCCTCCTCGAAATGACCAAGCCTTTACACCTGTGACCCTCCACTTTAGGGAACAATGCAAGACCCTGCCTGCCGAGGGTGCCTCGAAGATGGAGCAGGGCTCAAATCTAAAGAGTCAAGAACTGGTAAGGAACGGGCTTGCCTCTCCCAAAGCCCGCAGCCCCGTCCAGAAGTTGACCTTTGAACCAGGAATCATCAGTGAGTGTCTCCGGTCAGGGTGGGGTGAGTGGCTGGGCTCAGGTGTGGGGAGGAGCAGGCCACCAGTCCTGCCAACCAACTGCGACGCGGCCTTGAGCAAGTTACACCCTGGGCCTTAGTTTCTCTGACGATATACCGGTCACCACTATCATCTGTCAAGTGGTGGTGGGAAGGACAGAACTGGGGGCTCCAAGCTCCACGGTGAGAGGAGGCTTCACGTGACATGGGGTGGGGTGGGGCCACGGGACAAGGCTCAGCAAAGCTGTCCCTGGTCTCCCATAGCTGGGAAGGGGAGTGCCATGTCCCGAGTGTGAGACCCATCCCTGTGCAAATGGTGGAGAGGGAAGGGGAGTCTGGGACCCATGGGGATGGTGCTCACCTCAGCCACAGTCTCCGCCCCTTTCCTCTGTGCCCTGAAGACCCCGGTTCCATCTCCAACCCTACTGCAACTTGGCATGTGGCCTTGGGGAGAAATACTTCTCCTCTCCGAGCAATACTGAGGAGAAATATTTCTGCTCAGCAACAAAACGTAGGGTCAGACTGGCTGGCCATCAGGGCCTTCCCAGCCCTGACATTCTGGACTGTCATCCACGTCCCAAAATGTGCCTCACCTCTCCTCCGTGGTGCCTGACTTCAGTCTGTGCCCTCTGCCCCTGCAGCCAAGCGCCCCAGCGGCTCTGCTGATCAGTCAGTCCCCAAGCTCTTTGTCTCTGCCTTGGATGCCAGCACCCTCGAGGAAGCAACCAACAATTTCTCTTTCCAAGAAGACCTGCAGGCCCCCTTCCCTGAGCAGCATGTGAGTAGCGTGAGCGGGACCGTGGAGCTCGCTGTGCATTGTGTTATCAAGTGCTCGATGCCGTGGGAGATGGAGGGGGAAGTGGAGGTAGCAGTGGTGGGGGTGAGGGGTGGGGTGGGGTGGCGGCGGCCGTGGCGTTGGAAGAGGAGGAGCAGGAGCCGGGGGTGTCGGTGGGTGGAACAAGAGGAGCAGCAGGAGAAACAGAAGGTGGAAGAGAGCGGGAAGTAAAGGAGGTACAGGAGGTGGGGGCATCTCAGCCTTACAGGCAAGGGCAGGGCTCTCCTAGCTTTGCCATTTCCCAGTCACGAACCTCAGACAAGTGGCCTTATGCTTCCAAGCATCCGTTTTCCTGTGCTGTGTACTGACGGGTGGCTACACCTAAGGTGTAGGCAGCACACGAGCACCAGGCCTGCCACGGAGCAGGCCTTTAACCAATCGAGTCTGTTACTGCACGTGAAACAGACTGGTGGGATAGACGTTCCTGCTGAAAACGGGGGCCATGATGGCGAAGGCCATGGAGGCCCCGGCGAGGGCTCAGAGACCATCGGAGAAAGCTTCCCAGAGATGGGCCATGGGATCGTGGAATATGGAGGTCAGGATCAATCTCTGGGAGGGCCCTCTGTTCTCTGCAGGTGCTTTGCGGACTAAAACACAGCCACCTGTGATTTCCCGTAATGCTCACGGTTGCCCTAGGAGTTCTGAAAAGGGTGGTAGGACGTGGAAAATAAAACGGGCCCTAGCCAGAAAGGGACTTGTCCTAGCCACATCAACTAGGCATTCAGACTCCCCCATCCGGATAGTGCGAAAGCCGGCCTCTCTCTGTCTACTAGTAGTTTGCGTTTACCAGAGAGCTTACTCTCTCGGCCTCTCCTTTCCTCATTCTTGGACACTCAACTCTCACCCTCCAGCCCCCTGCCACCCTTGACCCTTATCTACCGTAGCCGCGGGACCTGGGGAAATAGCGGGGCTCAGAGCCCTGGCAGGGGCCAAACTCGGTGAACAGGAAAGAGCAGAAAGGCCTTGGGGTGGGTGGGGCCCTCAGTGGAAGGAGAGGCCGAAGGGGTGCTTGTCAGAGGAGTGAGATGTGCGTTCCAAGCCCCCATCCTCGCTTACGCCCTCTCCCGCGCAGGATACCAAAGCTTCTGACCAGGACTCTGCCTATTACGAGTGGCAGCAGAAGCTGGAGGCAGCTGAGGCTCTGTTGATTCTGAGAGACTCTTTCCAGGCCCCTGCAGGCTCTGTCATCTTGCTCGAACCCTGCGAGCCCTGCGTTGCACCAGGTATCCCGGTCCTTGGGAGGAGAACAGGGTGTGGGGATAGTTGGGAAATGGGAGGGCTTCGTGGTAAGTAGAGAGGGGCTGGGAAGTCAGGGACTGCGGGCTGAATCTCCTTGGGCCCTGGTACCCGAGCTCCTCCGTCTCAGGCCAGAGATGGCACTTGATAGTCGGTCAGCGAGCGATGAGTTTATTGACAACAGATGTTCAGTGCCCTGATGGCAAGAGACAGGGAAATGGGGAGTGGCAGGGCTCGCCTAGGGCATGCAGTGCACCAAGTAGAAGGACCAGGCCTCCTGGCTCCCAGTGCAGAGCTGCCTGCCCAGGCTCCCTACAGACTGCCGTGGTCTGGGGAGGGAATACATGGCTGACGAGCGCCATTATCTGGACGGAGGACCAGTTCCTGCATTCAGGGAGCCTCCATTCTAGATGTGGAGCCTGGGCGCCTTCACGGGTTGTGTTCTGCGTCTGAATCTGAACAAAGAGCCTAGCGAGAAAGGAGGGATAGACGAAGAGGAAGGCCGGGCACTCCCGGATCAAAATGGAGGGTTGAGTGTAGTGTGCGAAGGAAGCAGCAACCCTGCAGGAACTTCCAGAACAGAGGGGATGAGGCCGGAGAGGCTGGCAATCACAGAGACCTTGGCGTGACAGGCGTAGGAGACTAGACCAGTTGAGGGTGGGTGGTGAGGAGCCAGGGAATGTCCCAGCTGGGGAGGAGCATATTCAAAGACCGCCCCCCCCCCCAAGGCTGACAAAAAGAAATGCGGCGGTGATGGAGGGATTGAGGGAGGCACGGCTTGAGATGAGCGAATCGGTGAGGAAGATGTCTGCGTGGTAGTCTGGGTGACAGAGCCTCAAGGGTGTGGAACAAAAAAGGGGAGCCATGGGTTGGATGGAGGGCATGAAAGGGACATGGCCTGGCACTGACTCCTGCTTTTCTGTCTACAGCTCCTGCTGGAGATGGAGAGCGCCAGCCTCCTAGTCCCTCTCTCCAGCCCATGCTGGACATCCCCATTTCTCTGCCTGCTGGACACCCCGGGTGCACCTCCCCGTTGAGCTAGAAGCCCAGAGCATACCGGACTCACAAGCATACTGCCTATTTTGTTGTGTTCTACGTATGAATTTGCAGAATGTTTAACGTCTAACATGTTTAACGACTTTGTATTTTCACATTTAAGCTTTCAGGTGCTTTTCTAAGTCCTCAGACCCTTTTTTTGTGATGTGGGGAAGTTCCTTGGCTGAAGGTGGATATCCTTGCACCTCTACCCCTGGCTCCTGTGGGTCCCGGGGTCTTTTCATGTCTCTCATGAAAGCAGGACTGTGTGGTCTAAGCCAGTCGATCTCTGAATAAGAGAGTCCGTGTGAGTTCTTCTGATCCTATGCCAGAGTTGTGATTTGACTTGTGGTTGAGAACATTCCGGCGCGCTCCTGTATGTATCTACGCATGTGAAGATAGGAGGATGTTTTCATTTTGTACCTAAGTTTGTTGTGTGAACAAATAAACCCTTGTTGTTAGGCATTGAGATGCAGGAGTTGTTTGTTACCACAGTATCACAGAGACTGTCCCGACTCTGGGAGACCCGTGCAGTTCACTTTTCAAAATGACAGTCACCTTACTCAATCACTCGGACTGCTTAACATGGTTGGAGAAGACAATGGTAGGGAAACACGGGGTAGGAGATTAATTCATTTGGCAAGTACGAGCCTCCCCTCTGCCCAGCACAGGCTGGCTCCACTTGTGCAGAGGGCCACAAATTGGAACGTATGCGGGACCGAGCACATCGTATAAATGAGCAGAGCAGGCCACATGGGCTCTGGCTAACTGACGGCGCATGCTCCACCTAAGGGGGCAGCTGCCAGTGGGCTCTGGCCAGTGGCTGCCATGCAGGAATGTAAGCTCATCGTTGCCACAACTCTTGATTTGTCAAAGAAGATGGAGTTCCAGATTTCTCCGTAAAATATGTCAACTTTAGAATGTTAGCTTGGGGGCCCTCCCTGGTGGCGCAAAGGGTTAGGACGCAGCACTGCAAGCGAACTGCAGCCGCTTCAGTGCGAGTTCGATCCCGGGCCGGGAGCTGACCCACATGGCGCGGCAGACCTCTCCTGTTTCACCCGCTACTCCCCTCAGCAGTGTACTTTGTCAACCTGCCTGTTCTGTTCCCCACTCTGTCTCTGGTGAAGCCTCTCACCACCCTGCACTCTGGCCTGTACCCCAGTTCTGTATGAATAAGGAAATAAATCTTAAAAAAATAAAGGTAGCTCGGGCCCTCCCTGGTGGCACAAGGGGTTGGAGTGCAGCACTGCAAGCTAGCCGCAGCCGCCTCCATGCAAGTTCA